TAGCAGTTCAAAAGCATGCAAATGCAAGTAGATAGGTACCACATTGGTGGGAAGGTAACAACGTTCGGTGCAGTCATGCTGGCCGCATGACCACTGGATTTGTATTCAGACAATGCTGGCTCTTTGGCTTTTTAATAGATATGAGCACCGTCCCCTACAGTCAATTATGTCTAGACATTCATGTCAAGGGACTACCTTTACCTTTACCTTTCTACCTGGTTCAGGTCCTGCTATTGTGGGCTTGTAGGCATGTGCAGGCTCATTGTAATTTTCTTTATTTTGGCAGACTGCCATTTTGTCTGCAGATTGTGGGGCATCCGTTTTGAACACACTGCATGTGGGCATCGTCATTTTGTTTTCCCCCTGTTACGGGTGCCATTTTATGTACAGGTAAGAGCGTGCAATGCCATTTTTTGAGGGGGGGCATTCTCGCCATATTGGAGCCTGTTTTAGCTATCATCAGGCCTATAATTTATCTTTCTCCTTCCAGGCCTGGTTTAACCAGTTGTGTGTTCCTTTCTCATTGTGTAGAGCAGTGTTTCCCAAACTTTGGTCCTCCAAGCATTTGGGACTTCAACTCCAAGAGGCCCCATCTAGCCTAGCCAACTGTCAGGAATTCTGGGAGCTGAAGGCCAAAATATCTGGATGATATTTGTTTGGGGAACACTGGGGTAGAGGTTTGGTTTTGCAGAGCCTGGTGTTGCCTGGTGTGGGCCCCTTGCTGGAGGGTGGCTAGAGAGTCTTTATTCTTCATGGTGACCTATAGGCCAGTGTGCCTAGTGTGGCCTATTCCCCCCCCCCCTTATTCTATTCCTGATGGATTTATAGGTCAGCATATTTGGCTTGTGGTTTCACTGTATTGTGGGCTTGTAGGCCCATAGGGCTTTGTTGTGGTCTGATAGCATTGTCTGCCTTGCATTGCTGTCTTGTGTGTGTAAGCGGGTTCTGCTGCATGGATTTGTTGCTTTAAGTCTAGGATTTGTGCCAAGTGGAAATTCTCTGGTAGTGAGAGACCTCTGTCAATCTTCATCCCAACTACAGAGCAATCCTTTGGCCTAGATGTGAGAATAGGTAATGTTTGCATTGTGTGAGAAGCCTGCTTGACATTTTGGCTATTCTTACATTAGCTGTGCAAGATAGGGCAATCCTACAAACAAATAGCTTCATGTTGTAGATAGACCTTGATGGCTTTAGATTCAATGTGAGAATTAATCCCAGGAATGACTTTATCCACAACTGGACTGCATCCTTGCCTCACAAGGGGTGCTGGTAGATTTATTCACCATGTCCCAAGAACTGTGTCAGAAGGTCAAGGGGGTGGGGATAGCAATCTCTTAACTGCTCCTCTGGCTGGGAATTTTCTCTCCATGAAAACTGGATATAGAATCTTATAAAATGATTTAAGCTCTTTTGCCTTAAATAAACAGACTCTAGTGTCAGGTAAATTAGCAGGTAGAACAGACGGTACAGTAGAATGTTAGGGTAGGATTTGGCAAATCAATGGTCTAACCAAGACTGTTACTATAACACCAGAAACATTGGAGCCAGGATCCTAGAGTGGCAAACCTCCCAGGCTTTCCTTTTTCACACTTTTTGCAGTGAGGAGAGGTATCCAAGTGATGAGTCCCTGTGTGAGTTGTGACAAATGGTGATGGTTCAACAAACAGTAGTGGTTAACCCCAGTCACCTGCTGCACTCTGGTGCCACCACCACCACGGGAGGAGATGGTCAGCCAGCAAACACTTCCCTACATTGACATGTGCTTGATGTTATATATTATATTTATTAATATCATTATTGTTTGTTTTTTAAACCATAAACTACATGTTTGTCATTTTTCTTTTTGAAAGCATATTAAAATATAGTTTAACCCACACGTTTTTCTGCTCTGCTGATGAAAGCTGAACTCTAACAAGTTTTATTTTAATATCTGCATATTTTACATTCCCTTGAAAGGGATTAACACCCTGGAAAACTAAAATTGCACCCCACAATGACTTATCTTTAACACCTTTAATGGGTCACTGTCAATCCCAGCTGATTTAGTTTCACTGCTTGCTTGTCTACTGCTGTCTTGTTTAATTGAAATCCATGTTTCAAGATTAATGGCATTTTTCTCAGACACCATACAGAAGGGAACTGCACAAATTCAGTGAAATGACTGCCTCCTGAAACTGATATTATTGCAAATATAATTATGGCCATCTGTCAGGGATGCTTTGATAGGGAGTTCCTGTATGGCAGGGGGGTTGGATGGCCCTTGTGGTCTCTTCCAACTCTATGATTCTATTAATTACAGGTGAGGCTTCCAATTGCCCATGAGATCAATTGTCAACTGCTTAAAAGTAGATACCCCCTCCCACACACCTAGCATAAAACTATATGAAGGTTTACTCAAAAAATAAAAATAAATAAAATTGGACATATGTCTTCACTGGCTGGGTTGCAGACTGCCAGAAATAGTGCAAATTGAGTCCACTTTTAGAGTTAGGGTTAGTGCTAGGGAATCATGGGAACTGTATTTTATTGTGGCACCAGAGTTCTCTGACAGAGAAGGCTCAATGTCTCAGAAAAAAAACAATTCCCATGGTTCCCTAGCACTAACCCTAACCCTAAAAGTGGACTCAATTTGCACTATTTTTGGCAGTCTGCAACCCCCCCTTAGATAGATGATCTGGGGAGGAAACTTACTTTTTTGTGAGGAAAATTGGTTGTTTTTAAGGGTTTAAAACACTACTTAAAATATACCAACATTAATATATCTTACTGGAACCCAGGGGCTAAGCCAAATACAAAGACAGAGGTAATTTATTGTGGCACCAGAGCTCTCTCACAGAGAAGGCTCAATGTCCCAGAAAAAAATACAGTTCCCATGATTCCCTAGCACTGAGCCAGGGCAGTGCCTCAATTTAATGTGCACTATTTCTGGCAGTCTGCTTAGGCCTTTAGTTACTTCTGCATCCATTATGATAACAATCGGAATGTTGTGTCCCAAGTTGTTTCAACACATTCAACTCTAGTTGAACTCTAGAGCTTTCCTGGGTCCTTCCCATACTAAGGTTTTCTGATGGCTGATGGCAGCAGCCTCTGCCTCTGTTGTCTGGTTGAGAAGTCTGATTCTGTGATGGCAGAGAGAGAGATGTCTCTCATTCCTTAACAGCACCTGGGCAGACAGAGCAACAGTATTACAGATCAAAGAAATCAGATGCCTCTCTCTGATTACCATTATCTCTACATCACCCCAATGACATGTATAAACATATTAGTATATAGCTGCTTTATTCAATATATGTACTGC